GGCCAGGAGAACATTAGAAAGGCACATCCTCACCCGATGCTGAGATCGATGGTACAGGCTCAGCAACAGGAAATCACTTACAGGGTATGTGGCAGATGGCTGGTTTCTGTGACGCCTCCGAGGGCCTATTCCACACTACCATGCCTACTGGGAATCTTGCGTTTGCACCTTGCCTTTCCTACCAGATATATCCAGTGTGGCCCGAGAATAAGAACTATGTGTTGCTGGGCCTGGTGGTGCACGCCTTTGATACCAATACTCAGGAGGCAGAGGCAGGCGGATCTCTATGATCCTGATCTACAAAGTGCGTTCAGGACAGCCAGGGCTTGTTACCCAGAGAAACCAACCCTGTCGAAAAAAAAAAAAAATCAAAAACCAACAAGCAAACAAAAACCCTATGTCTCACTTGTTTTTTAATTCTAGGTCTTTACAAGGGAAACCATATACCATGGTTTGAATGTGTTCTCCAAAGCTCATGCTGTAAACCTGGAACTCCACGTAATGGTGACATTTGGGGATGAGGCTCTTGGGAGGTAATCAGACTTAGACGAAGCCATAAGAGGAGGAGCCCTATGCGAGGACCAATGGCTTTATAAGAGGGGGAAGAGCCCCCATGCATCCGAGTTACTGGTATATGTTCCTCTTGGTACAATAAGAAAGCCCTTTCTAGATGGAATCTCTAGCCTTGGACTTCTCACTGTCACAGCAGATAGTTTCCTGCTCAAAGACTACATTTCCCAGCTTCCCTTGCTTGTAGACTACAGAAGTCTTTTCTACCCCAACAAGGGTCTGCAGCATCTCCTCTGTAGGCATTTTGGCTATCCACATGTGTGAATGACAAAGATACCCTGTTGTCCCACCTAAGGTCAGAGCAAGCCTTTCTTTCTGCTTTCTGTCTCTCCACAGCTGCTTTAATAATCTGACAACCACGAGAACTAGATTTCACTTCTAAGTTGCTTGGTCTGTGCTAGTCTGTCACACCCACCGAAAACTAAGTTAAATAATTACATACATACAATTAAATACAGTGGTAAATTTAATTGTATGAGTAAATTATACCACCCAGAGTTGTATCCAAGACATGCTATACATTGACATCTGTGGAATGGATAGTTAATTCACAGTGACCCTGGATGATTTCTATAAAGACAAAACTATTTGACTTCAATGCTGTTGACTCTAAAATATATCTATGAAGTCCGCTGGTTTTCTAATTTGAGACTTATCCGGAAATGATGAACGTCTCTGTCCATTTGGTTGTAATATGCTTAGCAAACAGGGCTTAATGTTTAGGCTTTTATCTCCCACAGGGCCTGACATACAGTAAGCGGTTCATTATTCAGTGACTGTGTAGACCACACCCACATACACACCAACTCAAGCATATTTCTGTGCTACTAAAGGTTTTTTGTGGGCACAGATTCAATAGTTTGTTTAAACGTTCAACTGAAGTACAAACAGAACATACAACACAGTGTATACAATGCATATCAAAGCGTATGAGTTTGTACTCATCAGACATCAAAACCCACAAAGGTGACTGATAACGCAGACTGTCTGGGAGAGGTTTGCAGTGTTTAATTGAACAGTACTCAGGAAGGAAATAGCTTGTTCTGCTATGGATCTCCGAGCTAGAAAGAAATAGAAACAGGTTTAGATAAAATGAGCTAGAAAGAAATAGAAACAGGTTTAGATAAAATGTTGTAACTGTAAAATCAATTCAGAGAGGAAACGTCCCAGAAGCGATTCTCAAGAAGTTTGGCTTCATGATGTGACATCTGAGAAAGAATGGGCAAATAGACAGGCCGCTCTACTCCAGTATTACTTAGGAGCCAGTGGGGGAGTACACAGTGAGCCATGTGACTCTGGAGAGCCAGTCACGGAAAAGAGAGCACCCATAGATCTCAATGGGATTTTTCTCAGTGCTATTCAAAGTCAGTCCTTTCACTTGTTAGACGGCAGGTGCCATTTTCTCTGCAGTCACAGATGGTCTAAAATCCCAGCTCCGTCCGAAGTCCCTTCTACTTCCCTTTGTCCCAGAGACCCACTAGAGAACCCCAGATTCTTCCTGATGCCCACTCTCCAACTCCCAACCTGGTCATTTCCTCTATGCCCCCATTTGCTTGATTTGATTTATCTGCTTGATTTCTGCAAATGAAATTCCTACTGGATAGGGTTGTGCATAGATCTTCTTCAAGGCCCTCCAGGAACCTTGCCCATCTTCTTTCCACTCCATCCTCCATAAGAACTCTGTTGAGGTCGGACTTCCCACTGCTTCATCCTGTGGAGGTCCCCCTCAGCCTCTTGTGCTACCTCCATTTCTCCTGTGTGTAGCTCTTCCGGCTCCCTCTCCTATCCTGCCTTTATCTTTTTCGTTACCCTTAAAAACAGAGACATGGGTCGTTTTGGTTTAAGGGATTTCCTAGATAGAAAGCATACAGACTCCTGAAAGTTCAGAGTTGACACAGTCCAGAGTGCTAACAAGAGAATCGTGAGTTCAAAGCCAGCATGGATTAAGTGGCAGATTCCAGCTTTGGTGACATGACAAGACAAACAAAAACCTGATCTAAAAGAGGAACAGACTATTTTCCAGACTGATCTGACAGCGGGTGCTGCAACCATTGACCAATCCCACCCAGCCTTTAAGATTAGACAATGTCACACACAGATAACACTGAAGAGGCATAGCATGGAACCCTAGACAGAGCAATACTCAGGCAGGAGAGGAGGTAGAAGAATAAGGAACTCAACCACCAGACCATCAGATGCAAGCTAAAGGGCCTTCGAAAATCAAGTAAGCACAAATAGAATAAAGAGAACACTACGCAGACAACAAGGACTCAGACCACCTCCCTGCAGCCACTGGCTCAGAGAGGCACTGATCAAAGCCAAGGTCAAGATGCTTTCTGAATTCTTTCCCACAGTAACAGTCATGTGGGGAAGCAGCCTGCTATGGTGGCCTATGGTTGGCAATAGCGCTTATAGTATGAGAACTCTCACCAAGCCAACCCCGAAGTCCACAGGTCTTGATGATTTTCAATGGTATTGTATTCTTTTCCTCATTGGCTGGGTTGTAGAGCATTCCCCACGGCATTCCTTCCATGAGGCTCTTAGACGGTGAGCTAGCCCAGAGAAATCCCATCTTACAGAGAAGAACGCCAGCAAAAGATCCCCTCTTCCATAACCTGGACTGACCAGGCATCAATCACTGTGTCTGCCAATGCTGTTACAGAAACAGGGGAGGATGGTGCTGGAGAGCCCAGCTGCCGGCTACCACTTGATCAAGCTGTTTGAGATTTGCTGCTGTCAGCTTTCTTATTTATAAAATGAGGATGCTGGAAAGGATAAGTCATTTTTAAACCTGGTTTTGAGTAGGCGAATGATTTTTCAAACTTCGCTTGACAGCGTGTACCTTCCCCATCTTTTTTTGTCATAAGAACAAGGAGCTCATGGGAGAGGACAGATGAAGGTAGAGGTGCAGACTGAGCAGGGGTGGGGGCTATAGCATCACTTAGCCTTGCTATACCCACGCCCCCATGGCCATCCCAAAGCACCTCCAGAGAGGCTGGAGGAACCTGGAAAGAGACTAAGACTCTTAATTAGAAGTTTCCTTCCTTCCAGCCCAGATTTTAGGGATGCTCTACGTAAGATTTTAGTTAATATTCTGTATAAGATTCCTGCTCCGAAGTGGCCTCAGCTGCAGGACAGTGACAAAAAATTTGAATTGACCTGTAAACTTCTTTCCTGGTAGCTATTTTTCCATAGTGTTGGGATGTGCTACACAGCCTGCTGAAGGAAAAATTGCCCACTGATATAATAGTAGCATGAAGGTTATACGGGTAACCAACCACTTTCTGATTGGCTTCTGAGGCTTGTTCTATAGGAGAGACTTCATGCCAGTACTATAAACATGGCCAGAAGTTCATGGCCCTGGAGGTCATAGGCCCTAGGGGGGAGCCTACTCCTGTTGTTTTGTTAAATGGACATGTTATCAAACTACCTCCTAAATATTTAAATATTTGTATTTATACCTACAGATTGGGTATAAATCTGGCCAGAAGAGCTTCTTTCTGCCATACATAGGAATTAAGGTACAGACTCATAACTGGTCAAGGTGCTGAGAAAAAGTATTACTGTTGAGTGTTCAGCCCTAAACCAGACAACTATATCTATTAAACACACACACACACACACACACACACACACACACATGGGTCCCAGAGAACTTCATGGAAAGAGGAGAAGAAAGAATGGAAACGCTGGAGCATGAGGCAAGTACTGTGAAATGATGTCCGAACTTCATGAACTATACTCTCCAGGCCTCCAAGGACTTCCTTGCCAAATGCCTGGTCCCCGTGGCGTCACTGTTTGTGTCAGATATTTTGTCATGGGGACAAGAAATCTATACAATTCCCCTCCCCAGTCCAAGCTCAAGAGATCTTTGGGTGTCTTCTGATGATGTGTCTTTGGGTGCCAGCCCTCTGGGCTGCTCAGGCCTTCCTCCCAATAACTGATGTCAGACTTGAAGATGTTACAGATCCTCTGAGTGTCAGAAGGAAGGAAGCATAGACAAGTGGAGAAAGCTCTAGCCGGGGAACCAGAGGCACTTGCCTTCAAATCTGAGTGTCTACACTTTCCAGATGTGTGACCTTGGACAGATCATTGAGCTCCTCTGAAGCATGCATTTCTCCAGGCCTAAAACCGGATGAAAGTAAGCAGGCATTTACAGTTAGTGTCACATTCACTTCTGTGGCCCTACTCTGTCACTGCCTCAGCTCTGTCTCTGGTATTCTGCTGGTCAGGCCCTGAGCCTGGTTCTTTTCCGTCTTCCCTCTGCTCTGAAACTTCTCAGCCTAAAAGCTGTCCCAAGGCTGTGGCTTGTGATGCTTGGTTCTCACCTGGGGATAACAGAAGGCAACGCCTGAAAAAAAGGGGGGGGGGCATCAGCCAACTAGAAGAGAAGGCACCGAGACTCAGAAGAGGGCACTCAAGGAAGGGGCTTTGTGCATGGATTTCCTTCTTGGAATGTGGAGAAGCTTGTTTAAAACCCTGGATATTGCCCTTCGGAGACTATCCTTCAAAGACCAGCTGAGCAGTTTCTAGGAGTCAGACGCCCTGGGGAGAAATTCAAATGAGTTGATGAGTGACGACTGTGTGAAGAGGTTTAATTATGAGTAACCCATAATAGAGTGGGGGCTTTGACAAACCCAAGCTTCAAGTGGCTAAAAATAGATGTGACAGACTGCAAGGAAACGAAGAAAAAAAAAAACCTGGAGAAGGGGCAGTGCCACACCCACTTACATCAGTCACAATCTCCCAATCAAGTTGGTCATCAGGACTCCAGAGAGGCATAAATAACAGGTGCCTGGAGCCGATCTCACTCTGCTGGGCATTTAAAAAAAACAAAAACAAAAAAAGCCGGTGTCATGTAACCCAGGCCAGCCTCCAACTTGCTATGTATCAGACGGTAACCTTGACCTCTGATCCTACTGCTTCTGGTGCTGGGATTCCTGGCACGAACCACCATGCCAGGCCTGCTGGGTTTCAGTCTCTGCAAGTTGGCTGGTGTTACAGTTTTCAGTGTGTACACCCAAGACTACTAGACTAGGCTATCCCTCAAACATTTGTAATTTACTGGCTAGTTCAGTTGTTTATAAGCTCTGGCTTGTTACAATGTTGACACTTTTAATTAAAATTATTGCAATCTCCTCTTCAGTGTAGCCAGTGCTTTCTAACACCCCATCAAAGGCTCATACAACCAACCACAGTTAAGGCAGAAAGATCTTGAGTAGCGATAATGTTACATTAGTCCCTTTTCTCCTTCAGCACAGATGTCCATTCAATTTGCCTGGAGAAATTTAATAGAAATATATCTTTGCCTTGTGTCTTTTGTGGATAACCCTTTCAAATGACTTTGCCACCAAAAAAAAAGGCATTTTCGTTTTTAAATTTTCCTACCAATAGAAATCTAAATGCCGAAGGTAGTTTCTTCTTGATTGAAATACTATTACTGTAAAACTGGATCTAGAAACTTCCAACAAAGTTTGAAAAACACCAGACACGGAAAGTAAAGTTCTAGTAGAAATTGCTTAAGGAAAATGATAGAAGCTGATGTTTATTCTAAGTAGTAATTAATCATGTAACTGCATAATGACTTAATTGACGAAGTTACTTAAATAATACATTAACAAATATATGATGATGTAATTAAACGCAATACTAGTGATTAATTACAGTAATTAGTATTCATCAACAGGACAGGATCATTTACTCCTTTTTTTGGTACATAAAAGCTAAAGCAAATGTGTTCACATATGTGAATGCAAGAACAGCAGGAGTTCTGTGAGGTAATACCTCTCTGTTTTTTGAAGTCCTTCTGGGTTAAAACACAAGGTTATTCTGTGCCCAAGCACAAGGTTATTCTGAATACTTTGCAAGTATCAGTCTGGGTTTGCTGAAATAACTCTGTAGGCTTCCTGTCTTCTGTAGAAAGATGGAGCCCCCTCCTCACCTGCACAAGCTGGGGGAATACCTTCATTTCAACCTGTGCACAGGGATTGAACCCTCTCTTAGCATGCACAGGGGTGGAACCCTTTCTTTAGTGCATGCTTGGTGAGAGCTATATCACAATTTCTAGTTGCTTTATTTAGGGCTCTGAAAGCTGTTTGCACACTGAAGCATTACACTCTGGGCAGAGCCTATACAGGTCTGATGCTTAAGACCAACAGCTCCTTAGGAAAGTGTACTGTGGTGGACCTCGGTGGTTTTTAAGTGACTTCAAAACCATTCATGTCACCGACCTTTAAAAAGCCCTTTCCTGCTGGGGTGGAGGGCACACATGCCAGCCTTGGCTGTTTAAAACCTGACCATATTAGTCAGGGATGTCTGTGAGCCTTGTGTGGGACACAGAGGAAATTTCTTTCTAAACAAGACCTGTCAGAAAAAAACCTGTGTGGACTAGGCAAGGGCAAGAGACGTGAAGGGCCTATCCAGAATTCAAGAACCCAGAGAAGCAAGCCTAAAACACTCAGGGGACTTGTGTGGTGGGGACATTTGTCAACAAGGAAGAAAGGCTGAGAGGCTGTTTGCTGCTGATTTTGTCTCAAAGGATAAGAGATACAATTACAATACCATAGAACAAGGCTAGCCCACTTATCTGATAAAACTCTCCCAAATATGTGCTGAGCCAGGACCCTCAAGGTAAAGGGACTTTCACCCAGAGACAGCCCAGGGTCTGTAGTCCAGGAATGCTCCAATGTCCACCAGCCTATGCTTGGAAGGTTTGCTCTGCTGGCCTCTCACGAAGTGTTATCACATTGATGAAGATACTGATGTGATGATAGACAGACAAATGAAACTTGTGTGAGAAGGGAAGTGACATCATTTCAGGCCTCCCTTAGATGTTTAGAACACAGTCAAGCATGGGTGGGAGCAAGAAGGAGAGGGAGAGGGAGAGGGAGAGGGGAGGGAGAGGGAGAGGGAGAGGGAGAGGGAGAGGGAGAGGGAGAGGGAGAGGGAGAGGGAGAGGGAGAGGGAGAGGGAGGAGAGGGAGAGGGAGAGGGAGAAGGAGAGGGAGAGGGAGAGGAAGACTGAAGAGAGGAGAGAAGTGTGGAGGGGAGGGAAAGGGAAAGAAGGGGAGGAGAGGTGGGGAGGGGAAGGAAAGGAAGAGAAGAAAGAAGAGGAGAGGGGAGGGAGGGAAAGGGAGGGGAGGAGAGACAGGCTGTGAACATGAAAAGGGCAAAGCATCCTGACAAGAATCAGCAGAAAAAAACAGACATCAGCAGCAGACCCACAGAGACTCCTGATATGAAGACAAAAGACAGAGTAGAAAACAGTTGTATTTATGGTGTTCAAAGATAAGCTTCAGAACTTTATAAAGATCAACAAAGAGAAAGAAAGAAAAAGAAGGAGAACCTACTGTAGACATTGAAAACAGCAAAACTGAACTTTCAAAGGTCAAAAGCTTAGGTTTTCCCACAAGTTAGAGGCAGCCAAGACTTAGTGAACTAAACACAAGAACAGGCTGGGAGGAGTGGTCCACACTCTGGTACACTAGAGTCCCAGTACTTCAGAGGCTGAGGCAAGCAGATTGCTGACAGTCTGAGGCCAGCCGGGATTACACAGTAAATTCCAGTGTCAGCACAGAATGAGACTATGCCTCAAAAGGATAGGTAGGGATTGAGATTTAGCTCAGTCAATAGAATGCTTGCCTAGCATAAATGAAGCCCTGGGTTCAATCCCCAGCATCACATAAACTGCACGGTAGCACCTGTCTGTAATCCCAGAACTAGAGAGGTGGAGGAAGGATGCCCAGAAGTTCAAGGTTTTCCTTGGCTATATAAAGAATGTATCTCCAAAACCAACCAAACAACCGAACAACAAAAAAAAGTAAGAAATTACAAGTACAAAAGATAAACTAAGACACAAACTCACAGTGGAGATTTCTATTCAATATCCATGTACAATCACAAAAGCTACCAGTAAGTCCTACGAAGAATAAAGCTATATCATGGAGAAAATGGAAAATGCTCAGATCTGCAGACAGTCCTAAGTCTTCAACTTAAAATGATCTGCCTATCATAATTTTAACAAATGAAAGTCTAGGCTTTTCTAAGTGTCCCCTTATCGCTAGGGAGCTGCACAATAAATTTCTTCTGCTCTATCACAGCAATGAGCTCCTTCTGTTTTCTTCTAGGTTTTACTCATTCCTTGGTTTACAGTCTGACCTCTCAGTCCGACTTTAATGTAATCTCCTTGTGGATGGAAGCTGCCACTGTTTTGTTATCTATTCCTAGTTCCTAATCTCTGGTCAACCATAGGGTGTGGCCGGTAAACCCCTGGAGCAGAGACAGAAGTTTGGAAGCTCACTCTTAGAGCATAGACTTCTCATAGAAACATACAGGGAGAAGTTGTGGGTTCCTAAGGAAATCCTCCACTGATTGGTGTGTGTGTGTGTGTGTGTGTGTGTGTTCATAGAGTTGAGAGCACTTGTTGCATGTACAGAAGACCTGGGTTCAATTCTCAGCACCCACATGGAGGCTCACAATCGTCTGTAACTCCAGTTTCAAGGGGATCTAATGCCCTCATCTGTCCTCCATGGGTACTGTACACATGTGGTACACACACATACAACAAGTTAAAACTCTGCTGAGGCCTGTTCCCCTGGCATAGCTGTAGCCATTTTGTTCCATGCCTACCAGTCATTTCGTATTGTTGCTGTCATATCCCTGCCAGTCATTGATTCAGAAAAAATAGCTTTACTCAGAGAGTCATGCTTACCAACACCCTATTGTGTTCTGTATGGTAGTATTAGGAAATTCCTCAACTATAAGCTCTATTTAGGACCGATCAGAATAAAGGTCAATTAGAACTGTTCTGTCTAGGTAGCCAAAATAGCTGGAGTCCAGGCTGACCACCCTGCCGTGCTATGTAGGAGCTCATTGTGGTTTTTGGTTTTTTTGGTTTTTTCCTTTATAAGCCAGCCCTGAGAAATGTTCAAGGTCCAGTCTAGCTCTCTAGTCTAGGCTGTGACCCTGCTTGATCAGTGTTGGGGGGTGTGTTCAATAAACCAGCCCTGATTAACTGAGATTGGTGTCTGAGGGGTTTGTGTGGCAATTCTTGAACCCCAACAACTCATGCACAGAAAAAAATTAAAGTATTTTAAGATAAAATGTTTTTATTTTTTTGTTTGGTTGGTTTGGTTGGTTGGTTGGTTGGTTTTTTTTTTTTTAAGACAGGTTTTTTTTTTGCTGTAGTACTGGCTGGCCTTGAACTCAGAGATCTGCCTGCCTCTGCCTTCTGAGTGCTAGGATCAAAGACATGCACTATCACAACCCCACTTGGGATAAAAGGATTGTAAACTTCAAACCATATTCCCAACTGCCATAACCTAGGTATGGTTTATTCTCCGGAAGTTCACAGGCTTGGTCCTGTGCAGCAGTGTCTAGCTGGTGAGACCTTTAATCAATGGTGTCTACTGAGACGTAATTAGGCCATAGTTCTCTACCCTCACACGTGGTAAATGTTATCTCGGGCAGTCAGTCAAGTCTGGTAGGAGTGGCTTAGTCTCCTGGCCCCTTCCTGGTGTCATTTCCTGCTTTTACATATTTGTATCCCTTGTGCAGGGAGCTGTTTCCTTATACTTCTCAGCCAGGAAGTCCTCAATGGAGTGACAGTGTCATGCTATTTGGACCTTCCAGCCACCAGAACCATGAGCCAAATAAACCCTTTTTCCTTATAAGGCACCCAGCCTCGGGCATTGCATTATAGCGGCACAAGTAGGGCTAAGATACAAGCAGCACCTAAGTGTGAGAACAGGATACTTTCTTGACCATGGAAGAATTCAGATAGTTTGTCCCCCTCGCCTTTTCTGAGAGAGTCAGTTGAGAATGCAAGTCCACAAGATGGAAACAGAAGAGTGTGGCAGGCACAAAACCCTGGAAAACAAAATGATTAACTAATAATCATTTGTCAATTAAAAATTAAACAGATAATTGCTTTCAAGTATGACCCACTATGTAAAGAGTAACAAACCAACCTGGGATGGAATTGCTTCCATTTGGTAGGAACCGAAGAAGATAGGACAGAAAAAAAACCTGCTTTAAGGCCTCAATCTTCTCCTAAGGGAAGGACAGCTATGGTTTCATTCTAGGCAAGGTAAGAGTACTGTGGTAAGATAAAAAAAAAAAAAATCGGGAATAAACAGAATGATCAACCTAACAGAGTACACACCGTGTTGCTAGACTGCTTACATAAGTGTAAATCCCTAAAGGGTTTTCGAAAGCCGTATACATGCATCAAATACTTCACCATTGGAGAGATAAGGACACCACGCACATAAAAGAATGCTAATTTTAATTCTTTCATATACTTCTGAGTCATTTGATTTCTTAAATAAGCTTACTCGCTAATTACATACATAAAATTTAGATCTCTGGGACTCTTTTTTTTTTTTTTTTTTTTTTTTTTTTTTTAATGCAGTAAGGTTTAAAGGTTTCAAGGACTTACGGGTTTTTCTTTCTTTCACTGCCACCCGCCTTCTTATTCAGTCCAGTGATTCTGAAGGAAGCTCATTTGGAAAAAATAATGGGAGGGCATGAGAGAACGGGCTGTCATTAGCTGTCTTCAAGTCAGTGAAGATGAAAGTGGTTCCAGTAATTAGAGGAGAGATGGAACGGACACACCGATATTATGGGATGGAGAAGGAAACCATAGCTTGGAGGAAATTATTTGCAAATAAACTTGACAGTGGCCATCAATAGTCACTTTATACACCATGTTCTTTCACTGTAATTCTTGCTTTGAAAATCAGTCTAAGGAAACAAAAGCAAATAAGTAAATAGTAAAGCAAGATATCCCAATGAATATGCCTAAACATAAAAACCTGGGAGTGCTCTCAATGTAAATGTTTAGAGATCGGAACTGACCACATACACACAAGACTCAAGGGGCTGGAGTGTGGCTCAGCCAGAGTGCTTGCCTAGTGGAGCACTGGGTTAGATTGTGAGTACCAAGTGTATATAACCCCAGCACTCCAGAGGTGGGGGCAGGAGGATCAGAAATTCAAGGTCATTCTTGGCTATGTAGTGACTCTGGGGCCAATCTGTGCTACATGAAAGCCTGTCTCAAAAAATAAAATAAAATTTATATTAAAAAGGTAGGACACATTAATGAGTTGTCATTATCACAACAAATAGTTTTCGATACAATGAAAAATATATATGTTCTAATTACATTTTTCCCCTTGATAGAGTACTATGTTGATCGCAAACCCACAAAGATCTGCCTGTCTTTGTCTCCTAAGGGCTAGGAGGTTTTTTTATTCCCAACATAACATTTTATTAAGTATTTGGGAATTTCAAACAATTCACCCGGATCATACCCAAGTAGCCCCTCACCTCCCCTCCAAAAATAAAATTTCATCAGGTTCAATTTGTGCTGCACAAATACTCACTGGTATATGGTCAGCTCCTTAAAGAAAACTGAGTCCTTTTCCCACCCCTCCTCCCACCCCCGGCAGGAAGTCATCAGCTGAAAAGAGCTACACTTCAGCAGAATCTCTCTCTCTCCCTCCCTCTCC